GTTTCGACCTTGCTGAACAATTTTCAATTAATTTAGAAAGTCGATTTCATTTGACTAAAGTAGTAAAATTACGCTCTGAAGTTAATAAATGAAAAAACAATTTTGAAAGTTAGTACCATTATGAAAAATATTGGTTTTTTTATATGTATTATACCTACACTTATAAAAAATAATATACAAGTAGTTTTGGCTCTTTTGAACAACTTTTAATTAATAAAATAAATTGATTTTATTTGACTTAAGTAGTGAAATTACACTCTAAAGTTATTAAATAAAAAATATAAAACTTTAGGAGTTAAACAGTTAGTAGTGTTATAAAAACACAAATTTCTCTATAAATTTCATTTCTAATTTATTAAATTGAGTTGTATGGGTTTAATAGTATGTTTGGAAAAAAAGTTACAGTTTAAAAAAATTCATAAAAAAATTTTTATTTACGTGTATGAAATTGTAAAACGTAATACAAACAAAATTAATATTATACATGCTGCCCAAATTATTTTGGGATGCCATAATTATAATTTGAGATGCCATAATTCATTCGGTTTATATATAATTTACTATGTAAAGTGCCAAAATAATTTGGGATGCCATAATTGAATTTGGGATTTTACTTATAATTATGGCAGTCCAAAATAATTTGGGTGGCATATATAATTAATATAAAACTTATAAAACTAAAATTATCATATTACTGGTGAATTTCACCAAAGGTAAATTCACCACTAGTGAATATAAAATTAATCCTATATTATATATTTATAAAAGTTAAATAAACATACTTATTTAATTTATTTAATGTAATTTAACAATTAACATTAAATTTATTTTAATTTTATTTATTTTTTTTTATTTGATCTAAATGATTATTTAAAAATTAAAGGATTTGACTCTTAATTATTAATATATTACATATTTATGAAAATTAAATAAACATATCTATTTAGTGGAATTTAATATTTAAAATTATTTTATTAATCTAAAACTTAATTTTTGTTTTGTTTTTATTTATTTACAGTATTTATTTATTTATTTATTTTTATTTATTTTATTAAATACAAATTATTTTAAATATTATTAGAAATTGGATTAACAAAATCATTTATTAAAAAATTTGGATTTGCAAATATTATAGTAAATATTTATCAATACATTTCACAAATCCAAATTTTAAATAAATGATTTTGTTGATTTAATTTCTAACAATATTTAAAATAATTTGTGTCTAATAAAAAAAAATTAATAAATAAATACTGTAAATAGAGTTCCAAACAGGTTGACCAAATTCAGGTAACCTGATAGGTTGACCTGAATTTTTCAGGTCAGGTTTAGCAATTGCAATTCAACATTAATTCAGATTGTAACATCAATATAACCTGAATGCACTGGTAAAAAAATGATTTATCCTACACATATCTTACACATATTGGGTACTTAAAATGTAGAAAATCATATACAAATAATACACATATCATACACATATCGGGTACTAATATATATATCATACATATATCAGGTACCTGATAAGTATACTATATATATAAGTACCCGATATGTGTATGATATGTGTATTATTTGTGTATGATTTTCTACATTTTGAGTACCCAATATATGTAAAATATGTGTAGGATATGTGTAGGATAGACCATTTTTTTACCAGTGATGACCTGTTGATCTAAAACTATGATTTTATATAATAAGTGAGTTATGGTATTATAATTAACTTTTTATATTGTTTTTATATAATAAAACATCGGGAAATTTTTTAGAAAGCAGATTTGCACAGATTTTCAGAAATTATTTCTGCGCAGATCTTATACCCTGGTGCAAAACATCAGAAGAAAAATCCAATAAAAAACTGCGCAGATTTATAAATAACAAAGTTCTGCGCAGATTTTTGTTATTAAATTCTGCGCATATTTTACAAAATAAAAATCTGTGAAAATTATCAGAATAATAAATTGTACAAATTTTGATTGTTATTTATTTTAGTATTATCTAACATCAATTTATTAATTAAACGCATTACAAATTTATCACTTTGCTACACTATTTTATTAATGTACTAATAGTTAAAGTTCTACTGTAATTTACATGTTGTTAATGGTTTGGACATTATTCCAGTTGGTTCGATTCCAACAAACAACAAATAAAATAGAAAATTGGAGATGTTTGTTAGAAATAAGAAAATCATTTCGAAGTTATTACTTTTGAAATGTTTAACATGAAATCTCAGGATCTAAAAAATAAAGAAAAATGAACGTTAGTAGAACGTTCGTTAAAAAAGAATAAAAAAAAAATTATAAAGAATTTTGAAGATATACCTTAATTCTTTCGTCTAGGAGTCAGAAAAAAAACCCCTACAGAAAAAAACAACTGAAACGTTAGTAAACGTTTTGCAAATTAAAAAACATGAAAGAATTTTGAAGGAATTTTACCTTCAAAATTCCATCCAGAAGCCGTAAACCTGCAAAAAGTAAAAAGAAAAGACAAACGAAACGTTAGTAAACGTTTTGTTAAATATTAAAAAAAAATTAATTTTGAAGGTAAATAAGGTAAATACCTTCGAAATCCTGAAAAAATCTCCAAGTCTGGTTCGTCTAAAGAAGCCTAGCATCCCTATATAAAAAAAAAAGAACATTAGAAACGTTCTTTTATAAAAATAAAAAAAAGCAACAAAAATGAATTAATTGGTCATCAAATTAAGTTTCGTAACGAAACATTGCAAAACTTATCTTTTAGCTTTTTGGAACCTTTGGAATACCGAACCTGCAAAAAAAATATTAAAGAACGTTAGTATAATATTCTTAATAAAAAAAACCAAAAAAATTCAAATTCAAGTTTCGCGACATTGCAACATTTGCGAAACTTACCATGTTAAAGTTTCGGGAATATTGAGTACTGGAACCTACAAAAAAATAGATAAAGAACGTTAGAAACATTCTTTGAAAAAAAAATAAATTTTAAAGTTTCATAACGAGAGTTGCGAAACTTACCATGTACCCGTTTTGGGAACCTTGAAGTACCAAAACCTACAAAAAAAAAGAAAAATGAAACGTTAGCTAACGTTTCATTTAAATAAAAACAAAAAAAACAGAATTTCAAAGGTTACCTTCAAAATTCTGTTCAGGAGCGTTCAGAGAGCCATGTTCTTACAAAATACAAAAATGAACGTTAGAAAACGTTTTGTTAAGTAAAATTATTAAAAAAATTTTTTTTTTGAAGGTTTCACCTTCGATATGGGAGACCGAACTCGTTTTCGGCTTCCTTTACCTAAAAAAATAAAATACGAACGTTAGTTAACGTTCATTTAAATAAAAAAGAAAAAAAAATTTTAAAGGTTTTACCTTTGATATGGGAGCCCAGAATTCGTTTTCGGATTCCCTTGCCTAAAAAAAAAAGTAATACAAACATTAGTTAACGTTCGTCAATAAATTAAATAAAAAAAATTTTTTTTTACAAAAGTTTTACTTTCGTATAGGAAAACCTTCGTATGGGAATCTGAGTTTTCAGCTTTCTTTATCTAAAAAAAAGGAAATACGAACGTTAGTTACGTTCATCAATAAATAAAAAAAGAAAAAAAAATTTTGAAGGTTTTACCTTTGATATGGGAGTCCAGAACTAGTTTTCGGATTTTCTTGCGGGCTTTGCCTAAAAAAAAAAGATGAAACGTTTGTTAACGTTTCGCTAAATAAAAATATTAAAAAAAATTAATTTTTTTGAAGGATCTTACCTTCGATATGGGAGTCTGGAACTAAGGATGGTCATCGGTCCTACCGGTCATACTCGGTTCTGGACCGGTCGGTCCTAGAACTTGTAGGACCAG